TCCCACGCAAATCTTAGTACACGACAAAAAAAAAGTTAAGCTTAAATTACCTAAAAGCCCTTCGCCATGTCTTCTTTTTACAATCTTGCAATCCTCTATCTTTTTGTGTCTGTGTTAAGTTCGTCTTCCATGGCGGAACTGGTTCAAGAACAGCCCCTCGTGTTGAAGTACCACAACGGTGCTCTTCTCAAGGGTAATATCACCGTTAATCTTATCTGGTACGGGAAGTTTACTCCCATCCAACGCTCCGTAATCATCGACTTCCTTCACTCCCTCAACTCCAATCGTCCACCACTTCCCTCCACCTCCTCCTGGTGGAAAACTACATTCAAGTACAAAGGAGGTCCATGCAACCTCGTTCTCGGAAAACAAACTCTCCTAGAAAATTACCCATTTGGAAAATCTCTGAAAAACCCTCATCTACGGGGTCTAGCTGCAAAATCCAACGGCGTTAACTCCATCAACGTCATTTTAACGGCGAAGGACGTCGCCGTTGAAGGGTTCTGTATGAGCCGCTGCGGGACTCACGGCTCCATCCCTTCGGGTCGCGGATCGGCTCGGGGTGCATATATCTGGGTGGGGAACTCGGAGACTCAGTGCCCCGGCCAATGCGCTTGGCCCTTCCACCAACCCATCTACGGCCCGCAGACTCCTCCTCTCATCTCCCCCAACGGAGACGTCGGCGTTGACGGGATGATCATTAATCTCGGCACTGTTTTGGCTAACACCGTTACGAATCCGTTTAATAACGGGTATTTCCAGGGCCCATCCACCGCGCCGCTGGAGGCGGTGTCTGCTTGCACGGGAAAGTTTGGGTCGGGGGCGTATCCGGGATATCCGGGTCGGGTTCTGGTGGAGAAGACGACGGGGGCGAGTTTCAATGCTTACGGGGTTAACGGGAGGAAGTTTCTTCTCCCTGCGATGTGGGACCCTGAGAGTTTCGCGTGTAAGCCGCTGGTGTGATTGTTGAACATGTGGCAGTGAGTGAGGAGGGAGTATGTGTATATAGGTGGGTCGGGTACGGGTTGAGGATTTTGGTTTTCTGGGTTGATGTTTATGTGTAAATTCTGTTTTTCCTTTGAAAAATAATAAATAATAAAAAATATATATAAAGAATCTAAAGGGAATTGGTGTAAAGTGGGATTATAATTTGTAGGGCAATTTTGTTGTTTAGTGGGTAATGATTTTTAAGAACGAGAATAAAGTTTGGTGTTGTGATGATGCCGGAGCTGTGGGTCCTCCCACACCCATTATGGCAATATGGGGATCATCTCATTTTTTAATATTTTTCTTAATAATAATTTATATATTTTAATAATTAATTATTTGGATAATTTACTTTTTAGTATAAATACATATTTATATATATATTAATTTAAAAATCTAGCAATTGATTTATGCTTTTAAAAGAGAAGCACAATTATTGAGGTGTTGCATTTTTTAGCAACGAACCTGCTTTGTATAACAACACAGAGCAGACAGATACAGATGGGAGAAATGTATTTGTGTGTGGGGTTTGATATATTTTTTTATAATCATTTTAATCAGACTAAACACAAGCATTCATTTCACACAAACAATCCCTCAAGGGCATACACTAGAACCTGGGAGATGCCAGAGAGCGCTGGGAAGCAAGCCTTCTCTTTCGTAAACGCTCTGAGATGATGAAGGCAAGTTCGAGGGATTGCGAGGCATTGAGCCTTGGGTCGCAGTGGGTATGATAACGTGAGCTCAGATCGTTATAAGTTATGGTCCGGGACCCTCCTACGCACTCCGTCACGTTCTGGCCCGTCATCTCCAAATGTACTCCTCCTGGGTAGCTTCCCTCCTGCTCATGCACATCAAAGAATGCTCTCACCTCAGCCTGTCAGCATACAACAATATGATTCATTATTTCAGGTAACTTTACACCAGATTATAAAAAGCTAAGAGACAAATCAAAGCAAGTCCAAGTAATTTCATTTACTGTGGTTTCTACAGAAGTTATATCATAATTCATCACAAATAATTATATAGTTGATTATCTGGCAGCTTATTAGATAAGAGTCTAAAAGTTTGAAAACAAAAATTCATATATCAACATTTTTAATGAATGCACAGTGAAATTAAAGCTTGTTAAAGCTAAAATGTTAAACTGCATATTAACGTGGGGATAAAATGGCTGTTGCGGCGGAATCGGTCAACAAGCAGTTGCTGCATTATCACATTTCCTCCATTGTCTTTAGTTGCTTAAAAGTAGGAGCTTACGGCTGTATTTTTATGTATTTAAACCATTCCCAAGCAGTAAGGAATGCAAGCAATTATTAAATCTAAAATCTTGTGGTTTATTCTCGCCCGAAGAGAATTTCTTTATTAATTTACTTTGGCTTCTGACTGGGACCTATCAATTAGTATCAGAGCCATAGTAAGATAAAAAAAAAACAGAAAATCTGAAAATCAGTTTGGGAAGATTGCAGGATCGTTTGAGCAGAATGGAGGTGGGTTTCGTTGACAGATTCCACCAGCTCGAGGACACCCTCCGACGGCTCACTGACACTTTGGTGTTGAACAGAGAAGGATCCAGCAGCAATGCCCTAGGCCGACCGGGCCAGACGCGACCGAACTGCGACGACAACACAGAGAAAAGTAATGGGGGCCGACCGCCTTTCTACTCTGATGCAAAAAGTGTTGCTTTTGCGGGAGATGTGTGGAGATCTCTTACACATGGAGGGGGAGGCACTGGGGAAGATGGTAACCTCCAGATTGATAGAATTGATGAAATGGATGTTATTTCTAAACAATTTTCTGCGAGTTTGGATGATGCCCAGATGCAGACTATTGGTATTGATGATAAAATAGCGGAGGTGTATGAGATTGACATGGAGAAACTGAAAAATCTCCTGTCTCTTTTACAAAGCTCCGTTGGCGATGCTCTGACGCTCTGCCTTGCTAATATGGATTGGAATTTGCAGAATTTGTTGTTGAAGTACTTAGAACTCCATATATTCTGGGAGAGATTTTGATTATGTTTTTCAAGTGGGCAATGAAGAAGCCAAAGTTCAAATTGACAAGGTCTGTTAGGGAAGCTCTTGTTCATGGTGTTAGTACTGGTTTGAGGAAGAGGAAAGTCTATGCTTTTGGGGATTTGATTAAGGAGGTTGGGGAAAAGGAGAATGGTCTATTAAGCATAGATATTCTCAATGAGTTAATAGCTTCTTTATCAAAATTGAGTAAATAAAAAACAACTTTGGAAGTTTTTAACAAATTTTGGGGAATTTGGGCGCAACCTGAATGCAGAAATTTACTATTTCACCATTGAAGCACCTTCGTTGGTGTGGATGGTGGCCGCGGCGGCGACAGTCATCATGAATGGAAGCTTTGATGATGAGAACGCGGGTCCTGAAAGGGATAAAGAGATGACGAGAACAAAACTTGAGGAGGAGATGGGTTTTGGATTTGATGGCGGAGGGAATGTGGGAGAGTTGATTGAAATTTGGTTGTGAAGCTTCTCCATACTATGTGATCAGGTTTGAGCTTCTTTTTCAAGCTCATGTAACTTCTCATTATGGGATGATCTTGTACAATAAAACTATACAAAAAATATATATATATATATTGGGTTGGAGAATGGTGATGCTGGAGAGCAGCAAAAATATATACATATATATATACATATATATATATATTGGATTGGAGAATGGTGATGATGAAGAGCAGTAGAAAATATATAAATATAGGATGGATTGGAGAATGGTGATTATGGAGAGCAGGAAAAAAAAAATAAATAATAATAATAATAATAATAAAATAAAAAATAAAAAGACCATTAGATGAAGAAGTAGCATGGGAGAATACTGCCGGCAAAAAATGAATTGATAATCTGAACCTTGAGGACAAGGTTCTAAAAAAAAGAGGGAGACAATGATAAGATCCGAAGACCTGGTACAAGTTGACAGTTAAATCATTTTCCCACAACCAAAACAGTTCTTCCACGAAGTCCCACGACCAGATCAGTTCTCCCACAATCAGAGCAGTTCCAAGCAGTTCAAGTAGTTATTCTAGATTTTTCTATTTAAGCATGTACACAATTGCAGAAAAGGAGTGAAAAATTAATAATTCAACTACTGAAAGTGAGACCACAAACAACATGGGCTCTGTTAAGGACAGTGGATCACGCAGCGAGTCAAATGCAGAAGTGACCCAAGAAAAAATTCTTTTGGTACACCAGCTTGAATCAGAATATTTAATAACTACAACAATGGGCAAAAATATTTTGACTATCTGTTTTATATGGACTTTGAAGCATCAATGGTTTAGTGGAGAATGCTCTCAGGCATCTGAAGGAGTGCTACTTTCTTGCGAGCGCTAAGAAGCTCCTATTGAAGAAGATGCCCAAGGAAGATACCACATGGGAAACTACTACAGCGTTGCGAGAAAAATTTCAGTCATCTGAACCTTGAGGACAAGGTTCCTAAAAAACGAGGGAGTAATGTTAAGCTCCATATTTTGGTCACAGAATGTGGGGATAAAATAGTTGCGGCGGAATCGGTCAACAAGAAGTTGTTGCACTATTCCATTTCCACCATTATCTTTAGTTGCTTAAAAGTAGGAATTTGCGCTTGTATTTTTATATATTTAAACCATTCCCAAACAGCAAGGAAGACAAGCAATTATTGAATTTAAAATCTTACGATTTATTCTCACCCGAAGAGAATTTCTTTATTAATTTACTTTGACTTATGACTGGGACCTATCATAAAAGTCATAGGAAACATTAAGCACAAAAATAATAAGTTATTCAAACATCTTCATACTACATCTCCAGCATGAAGCTATAAGCCAATGCTTCTGCAC